AACTGGAGAGTGCTGTGCATTCCACTGGGCAGAGGGAACATGCAGGATGTCCAGGGTGGAGAGAGTTTGGCAGATTTAATGTGGAATATTCTGCTTTTGTCTTTGATCCTCCTCCAATAATTTGTTTGCTTGTTTGTTCTTGCTTGGTCCTGCTTGGTTGTKCCCAGTTTGAGATGGAGTTTTATTYTTCTGTTCCCATTTKCCTCTCATTTGTTACCTGGGAGAAAAGATTGACCCCGTCTGCTGATAAAGCTCCTTTAGCTCTCTCATCTGTGTGGGTCGTGTCCTGAAAATATAATAAAATATCTCAATATTCCTTACTTTACACTGCAGCAATGTGGCCACGTTAGAATATGTGTCTGCTCTATTTTAAAATTAAGTTCCTGTTTTTATGAAATGCATCTGGACTTCTCATTGGTCGTGAGACAGAAAATAAAATCATTTATCATAAGGGTAAGGCACAGCATGACGMATCTGATAGAGATTTATTCCTCCAACTCTTCCAATTGTACAGCTTGAACTGTGTTCAACACTTTATAACAGAAGAGCAAAAGAACTTTTAACAGTGGAGAAAACTTTTAATACATTGCACAGAAGTGATATTTCAATTTGCAGATCACTTACAGGTTATCGCAGTGACCCTCTAAGTCCTGACTATCAATACAAAAGGAATTTTAAAAGTGCTTTTAGCTGAAAAACAAGTTATTTGCATGCTCAAATCAACAACTTGTTGCTTGAAATTATCAATTAATATCCAGGCATAATTCTATAAAATTCTGTGTTTAAACTCTTGCAAATATCTAGATGTTCTCAAATGACAATTTGAGGATAAAAGACACGGCTCTGCACTTTAAATAATAATAAAAAAAGCTATATAAATAAATTTTGGGACTACAAACTTTTCAAGATAATGAGAATTATCAAATCAGTTTCCAGTTGGAAGGAAGAAACCAGGAAAAAAGTCTTTAACAAATACATCTGTATGCACTGAGAGCTTCATGGTCCCTTTTTTACTGTTTTGCCTCATGGTCCCTTTTTTACTTCTTGCAGTAAAGTATCAAATGAGATTTTTATATAGTATTTTATTGTATTTTAAGGATCAGATTAAGTTGGACAGGTTCCTCAGAGGATTTTCTTGTTGGTTTTTTTTCMCTACCTTGTAGTGTCCCTTTTAGCTCCCGACCCCTTTTGCAGGATATCGTTAATGAAGTGTGTACAATGCTGCTCGGGAAGAACATGCCACAGTGATTTTTTCTTTATTTTTGCAGCGTGTTTGATTCCATCTAGCAGCTGCAGGCCYCTTTTCCCACAAAAGAATCTGATTACTGAGTGTGATTAAAATGAATTTTTCTTTCTGTTTTTCCCAACTGAATCAGACAAGCACATGTTTTTTTTCTGAGCATCGTGCAGCACTTAAGGTTGTAAAGACACAATCATCACAAGACTTTTTATTTACTATTGTTCAGCACAAACAGTGGAGAGTGAAAGAAACTAATGAGGTCTTTGATAATCAATTCTTATCAGAAGTGCCTTGGGCAGAACTGGGTTTTTCAATTATCATCAGTTGTTTAGTAGCTGCACACAGGCCTTTTTTTTTTTCCCATCTAGAAGTGCTGATTTTATCTTTATTTTAGGAAAGATTAACTTACATTTGAATGCTTGAAATTAAAACTGTTCCCACTTGGAGTGATTTCTTGACAACTGGCATTATTTTCTCATATAAACACTGAGCTTTGGGAGGAGGAACTCCAAGGCAGGAGAACCTTTGGCATGGAGAGSTTTGGGGGATTTGAGGGTTTGTTTTTAAGGAGTTTGTGAGGATAGAAGGATGGGTAGAGCTTGGAGAAGCCTCTGGGGACATGATGCTTCCAAAAATTTTGGGGGAAAGCTCCTGTTTGGTGAGGAAGGGAGGCAGAGAAAGAACCCTGAGAATTGTCCATCCAAATATCAGCTCTGCTTTTCAAAGGGAAAGGTGGACACTGAGCACTTTGGGAAGCTGAGGCAATTTATCCAGTTGTATTATTGTCTTTTCTTCCATCCCTGCTGATTGTGTCACAGGAAAAAAAAAAAAAAATTCTCTCTGAGTTTCTTTTGCCCCGCGGTTGTAATTATTGAGGAAAAATCTTTGGTGGGGGGAAGGTGTCCTGAAAAAACAAAAGCAAACTTTGCCATGTAACTGTGGTGGTTCATATCAGATTATTAATATATTTGTGGTGGTTTAACTTCTCTATATTCAAAAGTTTCCTAGCTCAGACTTACCTTGGGTTGACAGAAGTCAGTGAGGAATAGTTACCCTTTTGAATTAAAAAATAGCTGAGGAAACGATTAGTTTCAAGTGCTCTAACACTTCACTTTCCCCAACATTTCTTAATTATCATTTTTATTTAGAGATGTCCTATAAAGAGCATAAAGCCGCTTATAAATTTGCTTCTATTTTCTGTAAGAAATGATCCATAAGCTGTATTTTTTTTAATGTTCTACTTCAGAACCTCTTTCTGAATTCTGGAAGCAGTATCATGAAATTAATTCGAGGTGACAGGGAGAAACACATGTAAAAGCAAGCTGCAGCTCAGTATTTACAGAGAAGTGAGGTGAGACTGCTGAATTCTGAAAAGATGCATCCGAATATCAGGGAGCAGACCCTGTTGGCTGCGGAAATCCTGAAAGAACCAGGATTGTCCAAAAATTGTCCCACAGCACCATCTCCTGAGCGGAGCCTGAATGGCAAAGTGAGCCTGAGTCTCGCTCAAGAAACGAGAGAAACYCCCAGGGCTCAGAGCCTGAATTTTCCAGGACGAGGGGATGAGAAAACTTTTACCCAATTTGCAGAGGAAGAGGACTCGTTATTAAGAAATTAATTTAAGAGTCTCAAGTCTKCCCTGAGTGAAAAATTCACGGGCAAACATCAAGTAACTCCAAGGAAATTCACACTGAGATGTCCCATGTGGAAAATGTAGGGGAAAAAGTCTCCTGTTACTGCATGGATTGAATGAATCGTTCCAAGTTCCTCTGAGCTTTGAGTGTCGGCTCTTCACTCCTTGGTTTGTAAAGTTTGAAGACAAACAAAACACATCTCTTCACTCCTTGGTTTGTGACGTTTGAAAGCACACAAAACTCATCAGCTGAGATTGTGGTTTAAGGTACCTGAGTTACGCAAGAAATTAAAAATTTTACTCCACCAGGAAAATAATTTATTTTTATTGTGAGAGCTGTAAGTAGGTCCAGTAGTGCTTTCCTACAAGTCTCAGTGCTGAAGTTGTGGGAGGGACTTTGCTGGACTCGTCTCCTGCTGGACACGGACACAACAGAGCTCAAACTGCACCTTCAGCCTTTCCCAGAAATGATTTCATGGGTCATTGCTGTCCCTGCTCTCTGTACATTATATTTACATAAAATATCATTGCTGGTKCAGTTCATGTAGACATWATCAMCCAAATATTCMAATTCTYTCATTTTCTTTCCTTCYTCCTTCCTCTTAAGAGCCCAATTTCCTTTTGTGGAGTTCTGCTTTCCTCTCACACTTTTCACTGCTATAGAAATAATAATAAGGAAAAAACGAATCAAAACAAACCTCTGAATTTCAATACTAAAACCACCATGCCCTTCCCATCCTTTTCCWTTTCCCCACACGYGTATTTATCTGGSTGTTGTTTCWATAACCAGGTGCAGCCTTAAACTTAAAATTTGAAAAGTGTRCTTTGAAGTGTTATTGCAGCCTTGCCACAGAAATTTGACAATCTCATCTCATGACAGACACTATATTGTCAATATGCAAATATTGGCATACTCTGCCTCAGAGACTGTGCTTCAGGGTAGGAAGAATTTATTAAATTCATTAAACTGATAAATGGAGCTTCCATCTGCAAGGTTAACGATTGATGTATTTTTTCTACCTTATGTTATTTTTTGCATAAGMAAACGTCTTGAAACGATTTCTTTAGAGAAGAGTAGAGAAATACAGAAAGCCTTCCAATACTCATTCTGAGCTTTTATTCAGTTACAGGAATGGCCATGTGTATTTTGAGATATTTAAGGGGTTTTTTTATATCTAAGGGTTTTCCCTCAGTGTTTCATGTCTCGTTTATTGATAGAGCATTTAATGAAATTTGCAATCTGAGGAGGGGACAAAGGCAGGGGGATTCTGTGTCACCTCTGCAGTCACCAATTTTGGAAGCCACGTGGATCCAAAGGCTGGGCCTGTGTGTTTRGATCAAGGTACTACAGACTTGAGCAGGATTTTAGAGCTGGGTTTATATTTTATAAACCACTCTGTGGTTCAGGAGCCATGGCTGCTTTCTCTCAGGTGAGGCTGTCTGCCTTCTTTTACCCCACAGAAACTTAAAATTCAGTGCAGAAGTTGTGTGGGTCAGACCCCTTGGCATGGCCAGAGCCTGTTCTGATGCATCTCTTGTTCATTTTGGCATTGGTCGCACGATGTTTGTAAAATTTTTAATTTGGAATTTTGAAAATGGACACTCAAGATCAGTGCTTTCCAAACAAGAAAAAAATGTATTTGGTTGTAAAGCAGCAATGGGCAGTTATGGGAGAAAACAATTATTTAGAGCCAGAGTGAGAGGCAGAGTTCGTTTAGAGTACAAAAAAGAGATTGATGCTTCTGTGTTTTCCACAGAATAAGAACCACAAAGTTGTTAAAATACAGTCTAAATCTTCTTAGCAGAGAAAGTAAAGTTTATTTGAATGTAGCATGCTATATATAAACATAATTGATTTTTAAAGTTAAAAATGTTCTTTTTTATAAATATGCTCATGAGATTATTTTTTCTTTAGAGGCATTCAATAGGCTTAATACTATAAATTTTTTTAAAATAGCATATTGCTAAAATGTGAAACCACAGTATTCTATCAGGAAGGTCGGCCTACACATTCAGAGATTTTCATCCCTGTCCTGAATTTTCTAACAAAACAACATAACGAACACTAAGGTGGATACTGACCAAATATTGTGCTTTACAGCATAGAATATTTTACATACATTCTTTTTTCTAGAATACACTTCCAGCGTTTGAAATTATATAAAAAAATTGTAATTAAAGCAAATCAGTAGAAATTGGCACGCAAAAAAGAAAATATCATGCATGTGGAATACTAYGTGCTGTTCTCAAGTGATTCTTCTCCTGTTTGTTCTTGATCCTTAGCATTCCCCTAATTCCAGATAAAACACAGACATGTTTACAGAGATGGTATCTGGTTACACAGTGGATGTGGTTTATTCCTTACCATATTTCTACTGTACATGAGAGAAAGCTGGTAATCTTCAGCTGAGGTCAAAGATTGTCATATCAATATGATATAAAAATTTCATTTTGTAAGTTATATTCAAGGAATGTAATTATCTGATTGTTTTAAAATTTAATGCATGGTTATTATCCCAAGAATAGTCAGATTAGTTTAACACATCCTGACAGATGGTTAGTGGGCAAAGAGAAATCCATGAATAACCTGCATTATTCAAATATCACAGATCTGTGCTCTGAGAATGATTGCAAATTATATTTGCATTGTGTTTTGACAAAAGAAATCTTTCTGCTGGCACACAACAGCATAAAGTTACCTTAACCCTATTATTTCTTAGCTTGCATTATTCAGTTCAATATACTGCGAAAATGGAAATTCTGTCACAGTTCTGGCAATGCTGGATGGCAAATAACAACCAAATGATCTGCTTCTCTGATGTTATTTTAACATTAATTCAGGAGTTTCCTTTCTGAATATAGAAATTAAGTTGCTTCTGCAGAGGATATTCTGTTGACAGTAATATTTAAGAGCAAATATTTCTTTTTTTGTGCAGTTGGAGTGTTTCCTAGTCATTTTTCATTTACTTATGATATAAAAGCTTTTTTTTATAAACTTTAGCATTCCTGACAACATAGAAAGACAAAAAGTTTTTGAAATCTTGTACACATCTCTTGTTGCTGCATTTTGTAAATAACAGATACAATTGTGCAGSAAACCTGAACCATTTACATGGTTTTACTGGATTTTACATATTGGGCATAATAAATTATTTACTTATGCAAAGTTTTCTGATTTTTGTAATGCAGGAAGACACTTCAGTGCTGTAATAATGTGATGGCTCAGAGATAAATGTTGTCCATAAGGGAGGTGTGTGCAGTGTGCTACTCCTGGAAATGTTTCTTTTCTTCTGAGATTCCACTCAGTTCAGTTTCATGATAATTTATAGCCCTCAGGGCAACTTCACAACAACAACACACGCTCCAGCCCTTCCAATGTTGACAGGAACTTCCTAGAAAGAGAAAGAAAATAGGAAAAGAAAAAGGAAGAAACATTTTTAGTAGTTCCCTAGGGATAGGACTAGAAAAAATACCTTTCAGATTAATAGGAAAGCAATTTGTGTGATTTCCTAATGTATTTAGCATTGTAATGCTAAAAAAAAAAAACAGATTAAACTAAGGTATCAAAACACAGTTTGTGTTTTTCAAGCAAAAAAAAAAAAAATTGTCAAAATTCAGCAGACCCTGAGTTTCAAGGTGCAGCCTGGTGGTTTTCCTTTAACATATTCCAAAGGCTTTCACATCCCAAAACCATGGATTGTGAGCTGCAAAARGATCTTGGCAGGTCAGGTTTTTCCTCTTTGTCTCAGGGGTGAGGGCCATCAGTCTGAGATTCTGGCAGTGACCAGAAGGTGCCTCCAGAAGGGGGTAYTGCTGACAAACACCCCACATCTACAGCCGTGAATTTCAGCATTGAGAGCCCCAAATTATTTATGCAGCCTGGTTTGCTCACTCGTGCATTGCCTCCACCCCTCAGTCYGAAAATCTTTACGTGGTTATTTTACAGGAGAGACAACTGATTCTTTATTCAAGCCCTCCTACAGCATTTCTGCATTTTTCACCAAACCAGCGACAAATTTGCAGTCGCTTGGACAGAATTGCTCCTTGCTGCAGGAGGAATCCCTGCCATTTCTGAGATTCCTTTACCTCTGTCCACTCATTGTTCTGGGCATCGTAGGACTCCACAGTGTCCAGGTAGCTGTGGCCATCGTAGCCCCCCACGGCGTAGAGTCGGTCACCCAACGGGCAGATCCCAACTGCGTCCCGAGGCACGCTCAGAGGRGCCACCGTGGTCCAGGCGTCCGTTTTGGGGTCATACCTGGGGAAAGTGATGAGAAAATTCAGAAAAAAGGCACTGTGGAGACACAGACTTCTGATATTTGCTTGTTTTCTCCCTTTTTGCTGTTCAGGTTACACCAGGATGAGTAGAGTTGTGATGTGGTTGAGTTTACACCGCCATGAGTTGTGATGTGGTTCAGTTTTTGATTCAGCCACTAGAGGGGCCTTCAAGCACATGAAAAATGCCCCTCTTCTCACTTTTTGATTAAAACATTTTGATTACAACATTACATTTTTATTATTTCAACCAGATTAAGCCATCAAAACACAAATGGAACCTGAGGGAATGATAACATGGTCACCAGTTGACTCAGAAAAGTTAATTCCCATAGATTCTTATTTTCTTCCTCCATAAAGCTTTTGGTTTTATCTTTCTTGTCAGACCTAATGTTTTCAGAACATTTCACTGTGAAAGGAGTTGAATATCTTGTGATATTCAACTTGCTGATTTTATTTCTGATCTTCCCAGTCAATTTCCAGTATAAATTCCAGGGCAATTCCTGCTTTACCCCATCTAACTGAGAACAGAATTTAGCAATTGTTCAAGGCAGGGCTTGAACACCCTCTCAATGTTCCTTTCTTGACCCCAAATGACAAGACTTTGTGATATTTCTTATATTTTTACAATTTTTATCAACTGAACAACTGAAAAGTATTCAATCCAATATTTCTTATATTTTTACAATTTTTATCAGCTGAACAACTGAAAGGTATTCAATCAGGTACAAGCAGCCTAAACCTGAGCTCTGGAACTTGGGAAATAGAAAGGTCACACTCTGAATTTGTCTCACTCCTTCAATTGCTTCTACCTCACTCTTGGGACGCTCAAGCAGAAATGGAGGAATTCRCTTCTGAGCTTTAATTATTTTTATTATCACGAAAGCGTTGGAAATCATCTACCGTGCTCAAAACATTATTTTAAAAAGGCAGAGTATGTTTTACAAAAACGGCATTCCAACTTGGAGGAGAATTTATTCTACAATTCCTTCCTGGAATGTAAACAGAAAGAGGGGGGGAATGTAAAAATAAGTCAGGATAATCACTGACCTCTCAACGCAGTCGGACAGGCGCGAGCAGTGGTTGGACGCGGGCGCGTCGTGCCCTCCCACGGCGTACAGGAACCCGTTGTAGGTGGCCACACCAACACCTCCTCTCCTCTTGGACATGGGAGCRCACAGGCTCCACTTGTTGGTGTGCGGGTCAAAGCACTCCATGGATTTCAGGCAGGAGCTCCCRTCGCGTCCGCCGACCGCGTACAGCCTGGGGTGGAGAAGGATCTCAGTTAGGTGAATCTCTGTTAGACAGGTTTTTGTGGGAACGAGGGCATGAATTGCTGTTACTGAGCAACCCAGACTAAAGGATAGAGCAGAGTGAGATAGAAGAGGATGGGAAAGAGGAGGACATGGCTACAGCAGTGTAACATGTACCTCGCAATGACCATGAARAAGAAACATAGTAAGAAGCAAGAACAAAGAGCAATTGAAGAACAATAGGACGATTGAAGAAA